TCAGAAGAAAATACTAACATTTAAAATTTAGAGATACCACATCTTTCTCAAACTAATCTGTAAATATTTATTTACAGAGAAAATTCAAAAGGGATGTTTAAGAGTGACTTTTTAAAATCTGAGAAATGTATACCGAAGTTTAAATAAAAGAATTTAGAGGATAGCAGCAGTGGTGGCTCACGCCTGTAATACCAGCACTTTGGGAGGCCGAGGTGGGTGGATCATGAGATCAGGAGATCAAGACCATCCTGGCTAACACAGTGAAACCCATCTCTACTAAAAAATACAAAAAATTAGCCAGGCGTGGTGGCGGGCACCTGTAGTCCCAGCTACTCGGGAGGCTGAGGGGGGAGAATGGCATAAACCCAGGAGGCGGAGCTTGCAGTGAGCTGAGATCGTGCCACTGCACTCCAGCCTAGGTGACTGAGCAAGACTCTGTCAAAAAAAAAAAAAAAAAAAAAAGATTTAAAAGATAACTAACCAAAAGAATTTTTGAAAAACAGTTATTATAAAGAATATGCTTTATCTTTGCATTAAACAAAATGTATAATGTGAATATTTATTAATTTTATACGTATATCTGTGTGTAGGCACATATACAGTGTTAATTCACTTTTTATGAGCCAATTCTATCAAAACAAAGATAAATAAATGGAACTTCATTAAATTAAAACATTTCTGCACAGCAGAAGATACAATCAGCAGAGTAAACAAACAACCCATCGAGTGGAAGAAAATATTCCCAATGTATACCTCCAACAAAGGTCTAATATCCAGAATCTACAAGGAACTCCAACAAATTAGCAAGAACAAAACAAACAATCCCATTAAAAAGTGGGTTAAGGATATGAATAGACAATTCTGAAAAGAACACATACAAATGGGCAACAAACATATGAAAACATTATCAACATCACTAATGATCAGGGAAATGCAAATCAAAACCACAGTGGATTTAACCACCTTATTCCTGCAAGAATGATCATAATCCAAAAATAAAGAAAATAAAGTAATAGATGTTGGCACAGATGTGGTGAAAACGGAACACCTTTACACTGCTGGTGGGAATGTAAACTAGTACAACTATGGAAAACAGTGTGAAGATTCTTTAAAGAACTAACAGTGGGACTACCATTTGATCCAGCAATCCCACTGCTGGGCATCTACCCAGAAGAAAGAGGTCATTATACGAAAAAGATACTTGCACATGTATGTTTATAGCAGCACAATTTGCAATTGCAAAAATATTTAACCAGCCCAAATACCCATCAATTAATGATTAGATAAAGAGATTGTGATATATATGTATACCATGGAATACTACTCAGACATAAAAGGAAATGAAATAATGGCATTTGCAGCAACCAGGTTGGAGTTGGTGATCATTATTCTAAGTGAAGTAACTCAGGAATGGAAAACCAAACATAGCATATTCTCCCTCATAACTAGGAGTTAAGCTGTGAGGATGCAAATACATAAGAATAATACAGTAGTAGGGAGTAGCCAAGATGGCCAAATAGAAACGGCTCTACTCTCAGTTGCTAGAGAGAAGATAAAAGTGGCAAGTGAATTCTACATCCTTAACTGAGGTACCAAGTTTCTCTTATTAGGACTGACTAGGTGGTTGGTGCAACCCACAGAGAGTGAGGAAAAGCAGGGTGGAGCAAGGGCCCGCCTGGAGCTGTACAGGAAGGGCACTGGGAGCTTCCTCTCCTAGTCAAAGAAGGTGGTGAGGGATTGTGCTATCCTTCCATGAAAACCATGCTTTTCCCACAGATCCTTGCATTCCCCTTGTGATCCCCAGATCAGGAGGTCCCCTTGTAAGCCCACACCACCAGGGCCTTCTGTCACAAGTACAAAGCTGTGCAGACTCATGGTGGCTGCTTGAGTGGGCAGCCACTGGAGCTGGCACTGGGATACAGGAGTATTTTATCTGAAACTCCCATGAGTCAGGAGGTCTGTCCGCTCCCGTGTGAAGGAGGCTGAAGCCAGGGAGCCAAGTCGCCTCACTCCCACAGAAACTCACAGTCTAAAACCTACTGGCTTGGAATCTCTGCCAGCTAGCACAGCAGGCTAGAGACTGCCTAAGAAGATGAGTTCCCAAAGAGGGAGGGACTGCTGCTATCATTGTGCTCCAGTCAACTGTTTCCTTTTGCTGTTGGTGCCAGCAAGACTGGGTGGTCTGGACTGGGAGCAATTTCTCACAGGGGAACACAGTGACTGGGAGAGTTCGTGGCCAGACTGCTTATTTAAGTAGTACCCTGATCCACTCCTTGTCACTAGAGGGGGCCTCCCCATGGGAATTTCGGCATCCTCAGCCAGGGATTTATGAAGAGAACTCTGATATCCCTGAGAGGAGGGAGCCCATAGGAGGAGGGGCAGCTGCAGTATCATGCCTCAGCAGTCTTAGTCTTTTCTGCCGGCTGGCTCTGGAGAGTCAGGGCAGCCCAGACGAGGGGGATTTTCCCCAGCACAGCACACCTGCCCCACCAAGCTGCAGTCCGACTGCTTATTTAAGTGGCTCTTTGATCCTGATCCTCCTGACTGGGTGAGACCTCCAAACAGAAGTCTCCAGACACTTCATACAGGAGTATTCAGACTGGCATCAGGTTGGTGTCCTTCTGGGACAGAGCTCCATGAGGAATGAGCAAGCTGCCATCTTTGCTGGTCTGCCACCTGCAATGGTGGTATCTCCAGGGGTGGGAGGGACCCAGGCAAATAGCGTCTGGAGTGAACTACCACCAAACTGCAGCATTCTTATGGAAAGGGGGCCTGACCGCTAAAAGAAAAACAGACAGAAAGCAACACCAACAACAACATCAATGAAAAAGACCCCATAAAAACCCCATCCAATGGACAACAGCCTCAAAGATCAAAGGTAGATAAACTAATGAAGATGAGAAAGAATCAACACAAAAATGCTGAAAACTCAAAAAGCCAGAGTGCTTCTTCTTCAAATGATAGCAACATGTCTACAGCAAGTACACAGAACTGGGATGAGGCTGAAGTGGATGAATTGACAGAAGTAGGCTTCAGAAAATGGGTAACAATACCCTTCACTGAGCTAAAGGATTATGCCCCAACTCATTGCAAGGAAACTAAAAACCATAATAAAACACTACAGGAGCTGTTAACCAGAATAACCAATTTAGAGAAGAAAATAAATTACCCGATGAAGCTGAAAATCACAACAGAACTTTACAATGCAAACACAAATATCAACAGATGAATAAACCAAGCAGAAGAAAGAATATCAGAATTTGAAGACTATCTTGCTGAAATAAGGCCGACAGATAAGATTAGAGAAGAAAGAATAAAAAGGAATGAACAAAACCTCCAAGAACTATGAGATTATGTTTAAAGACCAAACCTACATCTGGTAGGGTTACCTGAAAGAGATGGAGAGAACAGAACCAAGCTGGAAAACACACTTTAGGATATCGTCCAGGAGAACTTTTCCAACCTACCAAGACAGGCCAAAATCCAAATTCAGGAAATCCAGAGAACCCCAGTAAGATATTCCACAAGAAGACCCAACCCCTAGACACAGAATCTTCAGATTTTCCAAGGTCGAAATTAATGAAAAAATGCAAAGGGCAGCCAGAGAGAAAGGCCAGGTCACCTATAAAGGGAAGCCCATCAGACTAATAGCAGACCTCTTAGCAGAAACCCTATAAGCCAGAAGAGATTGGGGGCCAGTATGCAACAGTCTTAAAGAAAAGACATTCTGACCTAGAATTTCATAGCTGGCCAAACTAAGCTTCATAAGTGAAGGAGAAATAAAATATTCTTCAGAGAAGCTAATGCTGAGGGCATTTGTCACCATCAAGCCTGCTTTGCAAGAGCTCCTAAAGGAAGCACTAAATATGAAAAGGACAAACTGTTACGAGCCACTACAAAAACACACTTAACTATACATACCAGTGAAACTATGAAGCTACTACATAGACAATCTGCAAATTAACCAGATGGCATTATGATGTCAGGATCAAATTCACACATAACAATATTAACCTTAAATATAAATGGGCTAAATGCCCCAATTAAAAGACAGAATGGCAAGCTGGTTAAAGAGTTAAGATCCATCGATGTGCTGTATTCAAGAGACCTATCTCCCATGCAAAGACTCACACAGACACAAAATAAAAGGATGGAGGAAAATTTATCAAGCAAATGGAAAACAGAAAAACGCAAGGGTTGCAATCCTAGTTTCTGAGAAAATAGACTTTAAATCAACAAAGATCATAAAAGAAAAGTCCTTGAAGAAGACTGATTTATTATTTGCATTTGTAAAAGGATTTACCTGGAAGCTTTCATAAATAAGACTGCAGAGGAAAGAAGTAAAAAGATCAGAATACAAGCTGTTCCAGTTGTCTAGGCAAGAGGTGACACTAGTTTTATTTAGATCTATGGTTCTCACGGGGAAGACAGGGGCTGTATTTTGCCACTTCCCAGGAAATACTAGGCAATGTCTGGAGATATTTTTGCTTGTCACACTGAGGTGTTGGGTGAGGGGCATCCAGTGGGTAGAAACCCAAGACACTTCCAAACACTCTGAAATGCACAGGACAGTAGACTTCTTTCAACAAAGACTCATCTATCCTCAAATGTCAATAGTGTTGAGGTTGAGAATTCTTGATTTAGAGGGATAGCAATGAAGATGCTTGAAAAGTAACCTAATGTAATTATGCAAAGAAAGATATATTAAATACCAGATTTGAGTAGTTTTTTGAAGGCTACTCAAATAGTTTTCCAAAAATGATATCAATTTTCCCATGAAATATATTTGATACTTCTTTAATAATCAATTAATGTGAATAAATTTTGGGTTCCGTTGTCTATAGCGAGAGCACCAGTCTTTATTTGTCAATTTAAAAATATCAACAGCTTAAAATGTTTTAAAACAATTTTTATCAGCTTATTAAAACTTATTTTTCAAATAATATTTATGCAACAACTTTTTTTCTAAGATTAAAAAATGAGAAAAAAAATGTACTTACTTGCCATTCAATGCTGCTACACCAACTGTGCTCCGAGCAATTGACATACTGGCTACAAATGTCCATTGTTGACTCTGTGGATCCCACCTTTCCACTGTATTCAGATAGCTCCAGCCATCATGGCCTCCCACAGCATAAATAGGGCCTTCAAGTACTGTTACGCCTAAAACATTACATAAAAGACTGTTATGACTATAGTTAATATCATATTGAACATTTAAAAATCTGTTAAGTGGGTAGATCTCCTGTTATGTGTCCCTAACACCATAAACTTAAAAAATAAAATAAAATTTGAATAGATTTATTTCACAATGAGATTTTAAAAATTAAAGCAACAGTACAAAACTATGAATTCATTCAGCATAGACTTCAGTTGTTAAAGAACTATTGTAATCTCATAGAAACTACCTACCATTAATTGAATCATTCCATTAAAGTGAAAACAAAATTGGGAGCCAAAAATAAGTATTATGACCTAGATGCTTTATAAAATAATACTAATTCCCATGTTTATGACCATATGAAGAAACGGATCCTAAAAATCAAAGGTAAGATGTCTTGGGCCTCTACTTTTAAAGAACATTTTTACACTGCTATTTAAAATACTTTGTTACTTACAACAATGTTACCTTAAAGCAATGTAATATTACCAGTTTGAATTTCAGAATAGTATTCTCTGTGCTTTGGCTTCCCAAAATTAAGTTAAAATAAACTTATATAAAGCTTAGAAAATATGACATCTTTCATATTATTAGCTAAAATTACTAAATACAAGCAATTAAAACAAATACAATTAATAGAGAGCCATCCATGGGAAGATTCATACAACTAGTACTCATTGCTTTTCTAGTAAACTCATATCTTCATAAATAAATTTTCTTAAATGCTCAACAGTTGCTAACTATTTAAATATCATGTTAATATTGATCGATGTGCTCTCTTTAGCTGTTGAGAAATTCTGTTGAATATTTCCTAAAAGGGCACAATTTGAGGCTGATTATAAAGAAGTCTGAAGCATCTGTGATTTTTACCCTACTACCAAGCTGACGAATTAGACTGCCACAAATTTATGCATGTTGATTAAGATATGACTCCTGGATCAAAGAAGAAATACAGTTTATTACTCATAGCAACAGCAACAGTCAGAGTATCAACAATTTTTGTTTCTGCTGCTGGTTCCCCAAGCCCCAATTCCCATAGGGTGATCCAAAGAAGGTAATCAACATGGCCTTAATGTTTCCCTTCTCTTGATCAAACTTTAGACAGTTTCTTCCTGTGTCTAGGCCCTGGCTTCATTTTCCGTACAGCATTTACTTTAGAAAACTTATAACTGTAAATTATTTCTCTGCTTCTTTTAGATGTAAACCTTTGATAAAACCCCTTGCCAGTTTCACAACCCAGGACTGTCTTTCTCAAGGACTTGGGAGCTGCTGTTCCTTTGAAATGTAGTCGTTAAGGTATTCTATCTCCCAGACTCCTGAAAGTATAGGAGCCTAACTTCAGTTGGTACCTTGCCACAAGCTATAAAACTACCTTTTGAAATAAAGATAGAAGAAAGTTGACTGTTCCTTTGAGTAAGGCCAATTAGCAAACACAGATTGCCTATGGTATGATCCACCTACCCAACCTAGTTCCAAAAAATTCTACCACCTTTGTTTTAGAAGTGTAGTTCAGTCAGTTTTGTCCTCTCTTCCTTATTGCAAGCCTTCAATAAAATATGTCTTGCCTGTTTACAATTGCCTCATACAATTTTTGCTTTGAAAAGTGTTAATTGAAACCTGTACATGCAGTAGATTGTATAAGAACTATAATTTATAATGGCCAATAAACACGCAAACCCATTGCTCTGGAAGGAGATATTATCTTTACGCTTTTAAGCATGACTGCATTTTATTTTGGAGACAGGAAATATCTCTCTGTTCCTAGTCTTTCTGTTAAAACAACCTCCTTTTAAATATATTCTGGAACAAAGGGCACTCAATAACTTGACTTTAAAGATGTGCAGAAATATGAGAGACCCATGAAGAACTGTCTCCCAAAACTGATGTAAAAATAAAATGACAACTCATTTATTCATTCATTCATTTAACTATTATTCATTGAATGACTTTTATGTGTCAGGAATTATTATTGGCACTGAGGACACAGTGATGAATTAGGCAGACAAAGTATCTGCCCACAGCGAGCTCCTATAGCAGTCAATGAATCAATTAAAATGGAATAAGTGCATTATTCCCAATAAGTAAGCATGCTTCACACATATTACACAATTATACAAGTATAATTTAATAAAAAATGTAGCCGAATAACATTAAAAATGTTCTACAACACACATTCAACTTAGGGATGTTATTTTACACAATCCTATGCATATAGAGGGATCGTGTTTTGAGTGCAGGCATAGTTAAAATTAAAAAGCACAAACTTCAAATCTTATTCTTTCATTAGGTAGGAAATGGGGATTAGAAAGGATGCATAAATGTGAAGGTTGAGGTTATTTCAAAAGGAGATGATATATCTCATAGGCTTTTTAGATAATTATAGGTAGATACATGTATCAACAATAATTAACTACATGGAGATTAAAGTGAAAACATCAGTGAAGCTGTCAAAGAGATGCTGAAATCAACTTTTTACTGAGCACCAATTAGATACAGAGTAGACTTTAAGATAGGTTGTGTGCCGTAGATTGGGTAGAAAATATTTTGATTGATTTATGCTTTTCTGGAGAATATGATATCTATCTGAAAGGACCAGATCACTAGGATAATTTAATAAAGTTAATAAATTTAAATTTTGTTGTAAGAGCAATGGAAAATCACCGACATGTTTCATAATAGGGATGTGACTGTTATGACAAATTTATTCTGAATGTTTTATAGCAAATTGATTGGAGTCAGGTTAGGTTAGGTGGCAGTCAGGAGATGATTATAAGAAAATTTCAGAAATTCAAAAAGTAGAAGGTAGTAGATTGAATTAACAGGTTTCAGTTTAAACAGAGAAAAGTGAAAATATTTGAAATATATTCTGGGAGTATTGCTGTTTAAATTTATTAACAGAATGCATAGGGGTGTATGAATGGAAAGGACAAATCAGGGCCAGATGTGGTGGCTCACGCCAGTAATCCCTACACTTTAGGAGGCAGAAGTGGGCAAATAACTTGAGGTCAGGAGTTCAAGACCAGCTTGGCCAACAAGGCAAAACCTCATCTCTACTAAAAATACAAAAATTAGCTGAACCAAGATTGCTCCACTACACTTCAGCCTGGGCAGTAGAGTGAGAATTTGTCTCAGAAAAAAAAAAAAACAAAAATAACAACAACAAACAGAAGAAAGATTAAATTAGAGATAAATAAATTGGTTAAACAATTGAGAAGTTTAAAGGGTAGAAAAATTTGAAAATTATTTTTGGGGAACATTTAAGAACTCCATTTTGGATATATCATGTTTAAAGGGACTATTACACATTTAAATGGGGCAAATAAATAGGCAGTTAAATATACATGCCTACAGTTCAAGACAGTGTTAGATGTATATGTAAAAATTTTGGAGTTATCAACAATTATATGGCTTTTAAAATCATAATCCTAGATATAATCAGTTAGGAAGATAGTATGAAGAGAGAATGTAACAGAGACCATAATCTAGCTTTGACTAGCTCTAGTATTGGTTACATGAAGATAAAACAAAAAAGATAGAGAAGAAATGGCCAGATAGGTGAGAGGAAAATCAGAAGGTTTTGGTATTTGGAAAGTAAGGTGGAGAAAGTTTCTAGGAGGATGGGCTAATCATTGGCTTTCATATTTCTGACCAAGTGCATATTTATATAGGATTTAAAAATAGGCTCTGCACATGGTTTAATCCATTCTGGTTACTACTAAGTTATATACCTTACAAATATCATCCATATGTGCCTTGTTTTTCTTAATTGCTGGAGGTTACTTGGCCTTATAAAAATGCTTCACCGAAAGTATAATATATATATATGTATATTACATTAATATATAATATATAAATATATATTAAATTACCTTGTATATATAATGAAAACCTTGTAAGTGTTCAGTTTGATGGTATTTTATTACAAGAATGTCACTGTATACCTACCGACTATCACTTCCACTCCAAAACCTCTCATGCAACTTCCCAGTCAGTATACCTCCCAAAAGGTAACAATAATTTTTGAATTAATTCCTCATATAAGAAGTTTTTCCTGATTTGAACTTATAAATTAATATAATTTTTTAAAAAAATTCCTTTAAAGTTGTATCTGTGACATTTTTATTCAGAAATTAGGTGAGATAGTAACATTTTTAAATTACATATATTATTACACTGTATAGTTATGACACTTTTATAGCTCCATGCTATTGTTGATGAAAATTTGCATGGTTTCCAGTTCTAATATTTTAAAAATAAAGCTGCAATGTACAGTTTTTTGATGCACATATGAATTCACTTTACCTAGATGTAAAATGTCTGGGTCATAGAATATACTTACATTGAAATTGAGTCAATGTATCAAAAAGTTTTCTAGCTTTTTTTTTTTAACCGATTTTTATTTCCCTCAGTAAAGGAGAGGAACCCCGTTTTCTGATAACCTCTCATAACTTGTCACCGTGAAACATTTTAATTTTAGTCATTCTGATGAGTGAGTAATTGTATCTCATCATTCTGTTAGTTTGCACCAAGCTGATGACTGATAAAACTAGGCATTTTTTCATGTGATTTTTAGCCACTTGAATATCCCTTTCTGTGAAAGCCTGTTAAAAACCTCTTCATTTTTAATTGGATATCTCTTATTAATTACATCATCTTATCAATTTGTAGCAGTTATTGTAATCAATTTTAAATATTATGGATATAAATTCTTTGTTAATTTTAAAAATAAAATTAATAATAAAATTTAACATTGGTGGAATTGATATCCAAAAATATAAAAATGGACCATGGCCAATACACAAAAGTCAATCTAGATGGATCATAGAATTAAATATAAAAATTAAAACAGTAATCTTTTCAGAATATAATGGACAAGCATAACTAAAATAGATAAGCATAGCAGTGTCTTTTGAGGAAGACAAATATTTCTCAAACAGAACATGAAAAATGGTTGTTCTAAATTTTAAAATATTATAAATATAAAAATTAATATCCCTTTGGT